TAAGGCATTTGACTGCTAACCAGAAGGCTGGTGGTTCAAACCCACCAGCCACTCCTTGGAAGGAAGGTTGGGCAATCTAGTTCCTTAGTGATAATGCCTCGGAAACCCAAGGAGGGGTCACTATGAGTCGGGGCCGACTCGCCTGCACATAACAACAACAATACATTTGCTTATTATAGATACTTGGTAAAAGCAGCATCATACGGTTTTTGACTTCTTGTGGCTGACTTATTCCACTCAGCATCCTTCCACTTTTCTTTGAAAGATCAGCTTCACTGAAACTCCTTCCTGGATGAGCTTCACTAGTACTATGACCCATCCCTTCCTAACAGAGAACAATTAGGACCTTAGTTGTATTTTCAGTTGGCTGCTCATGAATCTAAGAGCTCTGGTAGCATAGTGCCTAAGGCACTTGACTGCTAACCACAAGGTTGGTGGTTCAAACCCACCAGCCACTCCTTGGAAGGAAGGTTGGGCAATCTACTTCCATAGTGATATTGCCTCGGCAACCCATGGAGGGGTCTCTGTGAGTAGGGTCCGACTCGACAGCATATAACAACAACAGCTCATGAATCTTACCTATTTCATAAAAGACAGGTCCCTTGAAAGCAAAGACTAAATTTTGAGTACTCCAGTAAGAGAGACAGGGAAGGCATCATAGGAAATTGAACCTAGGTGTTGAGGAAAGGCTGGCCTTAGATGAGCAATAGGAAAGAGAGTGAGGAAGACATGGGTAAATATGAGCAAAGGACATGTGGATGGTATATTCTTGGACAACAAATGCTGTCCATAATATTCCAAAAGGAGAAAACTGATCTATAAACAATGAAGCATCTTCTCTAATATTTCTTCTCTAGTATAACAAGGAACTCTGGTAGCATAGTGACTAAGACATTTGACTGCTAACCAGAAGGCTAGTGTTTCAAACCCACCAGCCACTCCTCGGAAGGAAGATTGGGCAATCTGCTTCCATAGAGATACCACCTCAGAAACCCAAGGAAGGGTTGCTATGAGTTAAATCGACTTGACGGCAGTGAGTTGTTTTGTTTTGTTTTTTTTTTAAGTATAACTAGACAAGTCCCATTTTTAGTATAACTTTTGTTGTGTGTTTCATAAGGTAATGCTAGATGTTTTAGAAAATAGTAATAATAATTGACCAAAAATTTAATAGTTAACCTAAAATTGAAGATTTTAGGGTTTGCGTAATATCAGCACAGCCAAATTTTATTAATTTGCATCTTGTAGGGAGATGAAGCCCAGATTTGTTGTTACTGTTGGTGGTGATTAGCCCAGGAGAACATACCAGGTCTCCAGGACTCCCTTATTGCTTACACTTGAGACTTCCTTTATTGATGCTACCTACCTACCTGTCCTCTGAGGTAATTGATTCTGCAATGCTGAGTAGGGATTAGGTCACAAGTTTCTCTGCTATTTTTTTTTTTTCCCCAAGACTGTTTCCATGGTTACATATTAAGACATCCAACTGTTACATTTAAGCATTCCTTTGTACCTGACTTGTCCCCTGAATCACAATATATACTGAGCCATGAAAGGTAGGGCAAAGAAGCCAATCTAGTGTTCTGGAATGAGCAAGAGACCAACATCATGGCAGAAAGTAGTTCTGAAGGATGGTGGGGCTTGATGGGAAAGGATTAGAATCTTGGAAGTCACAGGAAAGTTGAGAGAGTGATTGTATAATTTATCAACCATATCAAGCACTTTTAAGAGTGAAAAGGGGCCCTGTTAATAATTCTGTTCTGCTTTAGTGATGACTCTGGACTATCCCTGGCAAGCAGGACAAGGGTCACCTTACAAGATAGAATTGTAATCACCACTATGAATTATCTCTGCTAATGTCCCTTGCCACTCACCAGAAAGTTAGTTCTTTTGTTCTCTCCAAGCAGCTTGCTTTGCGAAGCCTATGCGCAATCTATATAATTACCTTGAGCCTGGAGGGCACTTGAAGGATCTTTTATTTGAAAAGTCCCTTGAGCATCTGGAACAGGGGAGGGGAATAAAAAACAAAAAACATAGAGGTATATTTTGGAAAGAGACCTGAATTTCTCCAAGTAACTGCTCGCGGACAGATCTATGGATATGTTTTCCTGAATGCAAAGTTAAAACCTTTTCAAATTAGAAATCCTGTCCTGACTACTATCACTGAAACTCATTGGTATGGGGAACATAATGAAGGGAAGCCAAAGATGTGGCCAAGATAACGCTGTCAAGCTGAAAGCTTTGCACTATCTGCTTGATGTAAAATATTTCCGATTACATATAATGAAAGACAGTGAAAACAATGGAAAATCTTCATATAAATGCTTGTCCATCATCTCTTTGCTGCAGCATGAATATGGAACCTGGCAGGCCTTAGCAGTCCTTGGAGAATATTAACTATAGGTACCAATGGAGTACATTGAGAAGCAATTTCTCTCCCGGAAGTACCAAAGCCTTTTAAGTAGTTCAGGCTTCACTGTTTATTTCGAGTTGCCAAAAAGAGCAAATGAATTGCCTGATTTGAAAGAACATTTGTCCCCCCTCTCCTTTTTTTGGCAGTCAGGATGAGCAGCTTGTTTTCTCCATAATCGGGCACCGCAGAACTACATGCCTGTGCTCTAACAATTTAAAATAAACAAAGTGTGGTTTTCAGGTGACCGGTTTGCCTCAATCTGCTTACAGACTGTCCCAAGGGGGCCTATGGAGCTGGCTGCTCTTCAGAATGTCAGTATGTGGAAGAGAACACCCTGGAATGCAATGCCAAAAATGGTATTTGCACCTGCAAATCTGGTTACCAAGGCAACAGATGCCAGGAAGGTACAATCTGATGATAGATTTTCTTTCTTCTCTAATAACAATGCTCAGCCTTTGTTCAGCACCATATAATCATTAATTAGTTAATCCACCAGTGTCCTCAGGAGATGGGTAAGCTTTATTAATCCTCTATTTGCAGGTGAGGAAACTGAGACACGGGGCAATAAAGTTATTTAACCTTGTCTTCTTGGTCTCTGCTGTTGGCCGCCCCCTTGCTAGCTTGAACAAGGGAAGAAAGATCATATTGCAGACAATCTTATCCTAAGGAGATTAAAGCTAGCCAATCACTCCTTTGAGCTGAACTAATCAACCAAGGGCACCGCTAGCTTCCAGAGTTAAAGAATAGTTTTCTTTATATCTAAAGATAGATCATTCAAACAAATACGTTTCAGAGATTTCTACTCATATTAAAACTTTGGAAAGTTTTAATATGGTCAGCAGCATTGTCCTTTCTCAAATTTCTAAGTATTATATAAATGATTGTTATAAATCTTTGAATATAAAAGTGTTATGCACAGTAGGATTCCGATTATAAGCAACATATATAGGTGTGTGTGTGTGTGTGTGTGTGTGTGTATGCATATAAGATTTGGAAAAGAGTATTTCCAAATGTTAGTAATGGCTATCTCTGGCTTATGGACTCATACAATGCTCTTCCCCAGGTATTTACATGACTAACTTTTCCCCTTTATAAAGTGATTTTATGTCACTTTCTTATGGAATTTTTTCCATGTGACCCTACTTACACTTGACTGGTCTCCTTGAACTTTTTTTTTTTTTTTTATATAGTGCTTATCATCTTCTAGGGAGCTCTGGTGGCATAGTGCCTAAGGCATTTAACTGCTAACCAGAAGGCTGGCAGTTCAAATGCACCAGCCACTCTTTGGAAGGAAGGTTGAGCAATCTACTTTCATAGTAATACTACCTCGGAAACCCAAGGAGGGGTTGCTATAATCTGACTCGAGGGCAGTGAGTTTGGCTTTTTTGGTATCATATTCTAACATACGCACCAAAACCAAACTCACTGCCATTGAGTTGATTCCAACTCAGAGTAATACCCATTGGGTTTCTAAGGCTGTAAATCTTCATGCAACCAAACTGCCTCATCTTTCTTCCATGGAGCAGGTGATTGGTTGGAATCACTGACCTTTTCGTTAGCAGCCAAATACCTTAACCACTACACCAGAGCTCCTTCTAGTATACTATATACTCTCGTGATTTATTAGGTCTAATATTTATTGCCTGTCTTTTTCTGCTAAAATCTAAGCCCCATGAGGAAAGGATCTCTATTTTGTTCACTGATGTATCTCCAAACTCCTAGAGCAGTACCTAAATCAACATATAAATATGTATGTTCCAATCTTTCTTATTTATGCATTCTTCTCCTGTTTTGCTTTATTCTTTATTGAATACTTGTTATCTCAGAAGTAAGGCCTGGCAATCCACTTCCAAAAGGTCACAGCCCTGAAAACTCCCTGGCGCAGTTCAACTATGTACACATGGGGTCACCATGATTCAGAAGCGACCCGATGGCAACTAACAATTCTGACAACAACCATGATATATTCAGGAGAAATTATAACATTATTTTTTCTCTTTAATGCATAACAATATTGAACACATAACAAATAGAAATTATCATACTCATGGCAAGTGAAGTTTTTCTTTTGCAGTGACCTAAAGAGCAACCTTATTTAAAATTGGGGTAATGGGTTTGAAAGGAAGCCACCATATCACTGGGTCTCCCTACAGAGGCAGGCAGCAGGGTTGAAAGTTGTCTTGGACCCTCACGTATCACACATTGTTCCTTGCATTGCTGTCTTCATGGGGCCAGCAAGGCTTTTGTGCAGCTGAATGAAAACCAAAGTATGACTTTTCCAGGGTAGTCCTGTGGCTATATAACTATAATATGTGAGCAGAAGTGTGCATCTGTGTTTCATGAAGAGAAGGGTATGACTTTCTAAGCAAAATAGAAGCCTGATATTACCCAAATGGGATTAGCATAGGTCATACACCAATGTCTGAGCCTCCTTCCACTCAACTGATTTTTAAACCTAATATCATCCCCTCATTCATTTCCCCACTGGAAAAGGCACGCCCTGCAAGGCAGTTTGCATAGAGACAATACCTTGTATGTGCACCTGGGTAAATTTAATTTATTCTGATAGCATTTTCTTAACGCAGTTGCTGAATATACTATATTGGAAAAATGCTTGTGAGATTCCTACTGTGAAGGGAAATGAGTTGAAAGTATATGTAAATCAGCAAAATAGAGAGGTCACCATAATCTCTGGAAAACATATTATTTTTCAATCAGATAGCTTTGTCCAATTCTGATATTTTTGTCTAACCACAAAATGAAATTATGAATCAGACAGGAACAGGTGAGTGGGATCGCCATGATTGGCAGCTAAAATCAAGGTGCAAAGAGCTCTCCAGGAGTTGTGCATGATGAAAATCAGTCCTGTTGTTGTTTTTTTTTTCTCTTTTTTAAAAAAGTGTGAAGTAGCCCAAGTGCTCCAAGAGCCAGACGTATCTTTAAAAATCTTAACTCCAGACCTGTGTCTAGATTGCAGATGAATAGCTAATTAAAGACCTCAAATTGTTTCAATAGCACTAATGAACAGCACTCTGTACAATCAGCAGTCAGCCATATTTAGCCTATCAGCACAGACTTATAAGAGCAGAGGAGTTGGTTTCTACAACTAATGTATAAAAAATGGAAAAAAGCGTGGTGGTGGGGTGGAGAGGAGGCTGGGAAAGGCAGCCAATGTCTTTGCTTTGTTTGTTTTTGATTAGTTGTAGCCTGGGGTATTTGGACCCCAGCTGCAGGCCAACATCTGATGTGGGGGAAGCTTGTATGGCTCAGAGAATCTCTTAAGTCCATCTGAAATAAACTATAAAATCCATGTGTCATAATAAGGAGGCTAGATTTTTGTTACAGTAGCTCCAAGTTGAATGAACTCCAAATTGTGAGCTCTGATGGGTCCCTAAGAGCAGGATAATTGTCTTGAAAGGTCCTGAGTACCTAGTATTGTAGAGTAAGTTGTGGTAGTACCTGACAGCACCAGTTTCAGAAGCCAGAAGATCTAGGTTCAAATCCTGACTTCACTACTTATTAGCTAGGTGACTCAGAGTAAGTCACTTACCTTCTCATAGCCTCTGTTTTTCATATAAAATGAAGATAAAGTTGTTTATGTCATCAGGTCGTTTTTATGGAACTGTGAGCTAATTTGGGTAAAGTGACTGGCACAGAGTTAAGTAATCAACAGATAATAGCCAGGAACAGAATGAACATTCCAGAAAATAAAATAATTCTGCTATACAGAGTCTTCACCACGAGCAGTGAAATACTTCACAGCCCACCATGGTTTGCTGCTGTTTTTGTTAGGTGCCATTAAGTCCTGGTTTGCGGTAACTTTGCTCAATTGGCACATATATAGGAAAGTTTCTCTGTGTTCCATGTGTTCAGAGGATACTTCCCACCAGCTTTCTAATTCCAGCGATTTTGGTGAAAGGACATACACTGACACATCTCCGTGACCTTCAGTGGACCTATTGGCATCACCCATCCTTCTCTAATTCAAAGCACATTCCAAAAAGCAGCACAGAATCCCCTTTACCCCCCCTTGTGCTTTACACATTCTTACAAAATATACAAATCACAAACCTCTGATGTGATAATTCTGGCTTACAGAAGAAGGAAAGGCTGGGAAGACAGGATTCAGACAACCATTTGGGTGCAGCTTCCTGAGCACCATGCCTCCTGAGCTTCCTTTACAAATTACATCTCATTTTCAGGTTTTGTTCCATGCAACTGTCTCCTAAGATATATATCAACATTGTTTCCATTGTTACTGTGTGAAAAACCACATTTTCAGCAAAAAGCCAACCTCTATATCTGTGTTTCCAAAGTGACAAGATATAGCATCTTGTTGATTTCTTCAGGGAATAGTTTTGGAAGTGCCATAAATCCTTGGAGGCTACTAGAATGTTTCTTTCTTTGCTGCTTGGTCTACATGCACACGCGTACATGCACACACACACATACATATACACACACGCTCAATTTTCCAACTCAGGTAAAAGCTGAAATCTGTGACCCTCTTGAGATTTACCAAGTCTAAAGCTCCTTACTTTCTCTCTTATTTTATGTTGCAAGCTTGCCCTGATGGCCTCTGGGGACCACAGTGTCAGTTCTCCTGTGGACCCTGTGAGAATTGAGGTCAATGCAACAAAAAAGCTGGGAACTGTGACTGCACTCCTGGTTACACAGGAGAATCCTGTACCATAGGTAAGTCATAGATCTACACAACAGAATCAACAAACACAGTCAGTAACAACAATCAAATTGTTAGCTTTGATTTTTTTTTTTTTTTTTACTTTTAACCTCTGTACAAGATATTACTATGTTAGGATATATGTTTCCATTTCTTTGTTGTGTAACAAACCATCCCACTCCTTAGGGGCTTAAAACAATGATTTGTTCTTTTTCTTGAACAATAAATAATTTTTTTGGTTGATGAAGTGGTTCTCCTGTTGGTCTCACTGGGGTCACTCACAGAACTCTATCTAGTTGGCTGATTAGCTGAAACTGGGCAGGAGCTGTGGTAGCATAGTGCCTAAGGCATTTATTTGACTGCTAACCAGAAGGCTAGTGGTTCAAACCCACCAGCCACTCCTTGGAAGGAAGGTTGAGCAATCTACTTCTGTAGTGATACTGCCTCAGAAACCCAAGGAGGGGTCACTATGAGTCAGGTTTGACTCAACGGCAGTGAGTTTGGGTTTTTTTTTTGGGGGGGGGGCGGCCTGGCTGAGCTTCTCAACCATAGAAACTTGGCTTTCCTTTACAAAACCTCTCCACAGCTTAGCTTGGGCTTCCTCATAGCATGGCAGTCTAAGACAGCCTTCCAAGAAGGTGCACTCCAAACAGTGAGAACAAAAGCTATAAGATGTCAAAAACCTAGCCTCAGGAGCCACACATCATCACTTCCTCCACATTT